AAAATTTGTTTCGTCTTGAATGTGTTATACTCTCATCCATTGAGTGTTTTCAGTCTTTCCGATATGCCCGTCGGATAGCGGAAGTCAACGTTAATGACCAATTACCTGAAAAGAAGCTACGATCCTAACCTTCCACCTTCGGATCTTTTCCCTAGCTATAATTTTTTCTCTCAAGGAATTTTTCTCTGTTTTACATAATAATGGGTCTTGCATTCAGCTTATCGATTTTGAGAGCCTAGTCCTTTGCCGTATTCTGATGCGATCTACTTTATGTAGCTTTCCCCCCATCTAACAGCTCCTTACTGAACAGAAACGGTTCTAATTGAGTCTATTCAAAGAACTAGGCAATATTTTTCCAGCGGTAAGCACGATGTTCCTAATTCCCCCTAGTCCCTGTCTTAGTCGCTTTCATGTGCATTGCTTAACTTTTCTTTTCATAAGCTACAATAATACTCATAATCGCGCATGCTGTGTCATTTATGCTTAAAAAATTAAAAACTAGTTTATCGAAGACAAAGTGAATTAAAGGTGTCATGAGACGTTTGTGATTTTATGAACTATTTGACGCGGTCCTTTTCTTACGGCTTATGTCCGTTGGTGAAATTGCTACTTGGGTTTTCTTGGATTGAAAAGGGCGGGCTCTTTCTAAACGTGGCGTTGTTTGGACCTTAGTATTAAGAACAGAATCAGTCGATGGAAAACAACGAAAAGGCCTTTATGTGGTAAGTTACAGTGATGAACCTTGCCTCGAGATGGTCATATTTTTGTACATACCTTCATGCAATTCAGTGTTGGTCTGAACATTTTTTGTTGTGGATGGGGGAGAGATCAGAACATGTTGCAAATACTTACGGGAGGCCCTAACTATATGATGATTAGAAGGGCAATATTTGGAAAGGTGCGTGGTCGTGGAGTTAAGGAGATTTGACTAATCAGCCAATTTCCCGCCAAACATAAGGGCGTGGCCAGTGGCCCCAAAATTGTGCTCGCTCGCCCCAGGCTGGCTCGACTTTTGGGATACGGTCATGGAGTTATAAACAATGAGTTCATCATCTATATAGCCTACTCGCCCCAAAGTGACTGTATTTCGCTTTTTAGAGACCCAAAAATTACTGTATGACCCTCTCGGATCAGATTTTATGTCCGTGATGTAATACTGGTGGTGATGTCAGTCAACAAGCAGAGTCGTGAAAAACACTGACACTTGAGCCTTTACGTTCAAAACATTCCTGGCTATCGGGGAAAAAAGAGGGATTTTTTAAAAATACTAAAATAAAATGTTATTTCAAATTTCACTTTGTAAGCGATCGAAAATTATTGTGACCGAATTATTATCAGATCGAATGAAAGTTCAGTCAAAGAGGGGGGGGAGTGGGGTGGTAGTTCTTCACAGTCCCAGTTTGCTAGAAAATTAAAAGTTACGAATAAATACTGGGCGAACTGCAGAATACTTGCAAGAAGGAGGAAGAAAAAAAACAACAACTTCCTGTTCAAAGTCGGGTGAAACATCTAATAGCGTCGAGAATACTGAACTGGATTAAGTTAGGTTGTTCACTTCAGTTCCGTTCCAGCTTGCAGTTCCCTGTCCTCCTAAAAATAGCTTCGTCTCCCACCGACCATTCCATGTCATATTTTTCGGAATTATTATTCAGTAATGACGGTATGATCAGGTAATTTGACTTGATGAGTTCTTTAATTTCATTTCATGTACTAGTTTTATAGATTACGCTGGAAAGATCTGCCAAACAGTGTACATTAGCAAAGGTAGGTTCCTATTTACACGTGTAATCATCGAATACCAGATAATTTGCATAAAGTTGCAGTGCACGGTTTGTTTTTCTAGCCTTCTGATAAAAATTGACAACGTTTGCGTTATCTTTGCCTAAGAAAATATGTAATTTGTAGCTGTATACAGCGAAATACTACAGAGAAAATTGTAACTGTGCAGTACACGAGCGGCTCCCTATTGGTCTGNGAAACATCTAATAGCGTCGAGAATACTGAACTGGATTAAGTTAGGTTGTTCACTTCAGTTCCGTTCCAGCTTGCAGTTCCCTGTCCTCCTAAAAATAGCTTCGTCTCCCACCGACCATTCCATGTCATATTTTTCGGAATTATTATTCAGTAATGACGGTATGATCAGGTAATTTGACTTGATGAGTTCTTTAATTTCATTTCATGTACTAGTTTTATAGATTACGCTGGAAAGATCTGCCAAACAGTGTACATTAGCAAAGGTAGGTTCCTATTTACACGTGTAATCATCGAATACCAGATAATTTGCATAAAGTTGCAGTGCACGGTTTGTTTTTCTAGCCTTCTGATAAAAATTGACAACGTTTGCGTTATCTTTGCCTAAGAAAATATGTAATTTGTAGCTGTATACAGCGAAATACTACAGAGAAAATTGTAACTGTGCAGTACACGAGCGGCTCCCTATTGGTCTGGCAAATCGTGTATTTGCAAATCGTGTGTAACAAAATTTATAATTTTCATTTTAGCCCATATTTCAAGCTATTCGCAAGATCAGAATCAAAAGATCATCTTTTTACAATACAAGGGAGGGTTTTTTAAGCGATAGATAAGCTTTAAGAGGCACGATCAATTTTTAAAGATTTTTTTTTTCAAATATTCACCTTTAACTTTATGTTAAAGCTTTTGCCATATTGTAACTACATAATTATAGTCATGCAAATAAAGCTTATTTTGATGTTGTTGTTGCTATTCTAACATCACGGTTTTACCACAAGGTCACGAAAGCTCTCTCACCATGACCCTGCAAAAAGCTTTAATTTAAATAAAACTGACATCATCATAACTTTAAACACTTCCAAAGTGGTTTAAAACATGCAAAATATTTTCAAAGAAACCTGAAGGAAAGGTAGGTCATAGACTTGATTATCACAACTAAATTCTGCAGAGGAAATTCCACAACATTCCCAAATCGCCGTAACAAATTACGGGAACGAGCATTGTCCTCAGCGGTTAGCATCTGTCGTTTTAGTCCATGGGGTCTTTGTTTTAGTCCAAGGGGTCTTCGTTTTAGTCCTTTGGTTATTCGTTTCAGTCAAAGGAGTCTTCGTTTTAGTCCATGGGGTCTTCGTTTTACAGGGGCACCCAACGAGAATATAGTTCAAAACCACTTAAACATAGCATTGTTAAAGGTATTTTAGTATTTAAACGGTAGATATAGGCATATTTTTATCCCCTAAAAATTTTTCATCTGTTCGGATTTCCTAGATGAAAGTCTAGTGATCCGATAATTATAGGGATCAAAACTTACCTTTCCGAAAATTTCAGCCAGAAAAAAGGTTACCAAAAATTGTAGGTGATCTTTTTAGGGTAAAAATCCGTTAAAAATGGGCAATTATACCATTATTTAATAGATGTTCGAAAATCCTAGGATAGGCAGGCAAGCAAGAAATTTTACAACAAATGCTCCGAAAATTCGAGATCTTAAATCGTCTTCCGAACAGATATTTTCAGAAAATTGACGTTAAGTGCTCCTGGTTTTAGTCAAAGGGGTCTTCGTTTTAGTCCAAGGGGTCTTCGTTTTATTCCATGGGTCTTAGGTCTTAGGTCTCCGTTTTTGGGTCTTCGTTTTAGAAACACCCAAAGGTTTTCTTACGTTAAAGGAAAACAAAAACAAAGGAGTACGAAAAAAAATTGAATAAATAATTAATACTACTCGTCGAGAACTAAGAAAAAGAACTGTTAGGTATATTTAAGAACAATAATCTTAGGGAATAGTCAGCGAGCAAAAGATTCTCTCTTGCATGGGTTTTTGAGTTTACGAAGTCTTTCCCTTCACATGTCAGTCGCGTAATATAACAGACCAACTGCGCGACTGACAAGCGAAGCGAACGAAATTGTAAACTTTAAAAGCCACGCAAGAGAGACACCTCTGCTCGCAGGATAAATTTCTACGGACCAAAGACCAAGTTTATTGATTTTTACGGTTATAAACAATCTATTATCTCCATCGTACAAATTAAGAACCTAATTAAGTAACTTCTTAGCTTATTAAAATTGTCATTAAGTACCCTTAAAATACATGCACCTATTTTGCCAGACTGTAGAGGAAAATAGGTTCTTATTAGCAGGTGTTTACTGTAATTACTTTTTTGACCTTCTTGCTGCCATTGCCGTCACCGTCGTGGCTGCTCGCGCAAGCTCATATGTTCTAACGATCAATTTTCCACTGTTCTCGAACAGCAGTGCATTTCAAATAGGCAGAAGCTTGCCCAGTTGCGGAAAAGGTAGTCTCCATCGCAGCCCTCGGGTCGTAGTCACGTATGAAGTCTCCTAGTATTCCCAAGCGTGGGAGCGGGGAGTTATGAATTCGTTTACGTGGGATGCAGAGGAGACCATGGAAAAGGAGATCTGGCTGTTGTGTAAAATTGAAATGAAAACCATTCTTGAGAGAACTTTCTAATAATGATATATATGTCAGTATGGTAGTTCGACTGGTGACCTCGTTTGCACTTTTGTTAGAGGAAGTTTTTTTAAAAGTCGGGTGATAATATGAACAGGTAGATGTTTTCTGATCGTCACAAATGAAGATAAAAGGAGAACGAATGTCGATGGATCCGACACTGCAAAATAGATATAAAACCCTTTTGTCAATAAAATAGAAATACCTGTTGGAACCCAAACAGCTAACCAATATGCATGCGAGTAGAGGGAATTAAAATAAGTGGATAGATCCAATTTGGCAAAAAAAAAAGTGGAAACGAACCGAACTGATCCCTAAATGAATAATACCGGAATGAAATGGTAAAACAGAAACCCTTTCGAAATTCTTAAATGATTTGGTGCAAAGAACGTCATTAAAAAGCATAAAGTATGATAATGATACTGATATGAATAATTTATATTAATATGTTCCCCACGATTTCGATTACTAATCTGAATTTAAAATGCGGCTTTTTAATTATTCATCTCGGTGTGCAATTAGGAAAACAGGAACATTTTATGGTAAACTGAATTTTAGTTTGTCGTCAGGGAATCAGCAGAGGCGTTGGAGTCTTAGGAATGGCTTTCAAGGCCTCGAGAGATAGAGTTAGATAGTTTATTCTGATTAAAATCGTAGCCAAAAGCTGAATTAGATTAATCGTTACAATAATGAAATCTAATAAAAATATGAGAAAAATGTACACATATGTAGCTGAAAATTTAATTACAGTTGCTATATATAAATGTGTTCTTAAGTCTCTTCGTCTCAGCCAGAGGGACATTAAAATTTCTCTTTCGTCTTAAATTGGATTCACAATTGTTACGAGGTGGCAAGAGCTCATGCAGTTTATGGTCTGAGTTACAAGTGATGGAATCAAAAGGCTTAGTTGTGATAGACTGCCTGCGTCGAGAGAGCGTCTCCAAGATGGCTTGACGTAATGCGTCGCTATATGGTACAAACGGAAAAATAATTCGCACGGCGCGCTTCTGTAGCTGTTCTAGCTCTGCGGATAAATATGCGGGAAGCGCGTTGTGAAACACCGGGCATACGTATTCCGTTACTGGGCGGATACAGGTCAAGTAAAAGATTAGCAGATCTTTGGCGGGAATATTCGCTCTCTTCAGTTTTTTAAGAAAATATAATCGACTCGCTACTTTTTTTACTTATTTCAGCAACATGACAGTTCCACCGGAGGTCGGATGATATATTTAGACCTAACAACTTAACAGTGGGCACTACCTCTATTGTTTTTCCGTTGATAGCAATGGGAGAAAAGTCCGCGGCTGATTTAGCGAACGAAATCCGTAGTTCCTTACACTTCGACTCTTTTAGCTGGAACTTGTTTTGGTTAGACTTAGCGATCAGTTCCTCCATATCAGATTGGATACGGCTGTCTTCCTTCTTGTCAACACACTGCAATAGTTGTGTCATCCACGTATTTCCACAGTTCCGCGTTACTGGTGTTGATGTCATCAATCATGAGAATAAACAACCACGGCCCGAGCTTGGCTCCCTGAGGCACCTCTGCCGGTACGTTCCTCCATTCAGACAAGCAATCTTCTCCCAATTTGATTCTCTGCGTGCGATCTGTAAGGAAATCGATGATCCAAAACGATACGCCAACAGGCATGTCCAGGGCCAGCAGCTTCCTGGCGAGAAGCGCGTGGTATATCAAATCGAAAGCCTTCCGGTGATCGAATAAGACGACCCTGACGGTGGATCCTGTACCATCAGTGTGTTTAGTCCAGGAGTGCACCATACTGATTAGCGCATACGTTGTTGAGGATTCTGGGATAGCCCCAAATTGGTTGTCTCCGATTTTCTTGAGAATTGATGGTCGCGAGTGCTCCGCAACAACAAACTCTTCCGCCACCTTAAAGAGAACGGGCGTTAACGAGATGGGACGCAGGTGTTTATTTACGTCCTTGACTGGTTTCTGCTTTGGGATCGGCACGGTATCAGCAGATTTCCAAGAAGGTGGTGAGCGGCTTTCAGGAAAGAACCAGTTAACAATATCTGTTACCATATCAGAGAGGAGATCCGCATTTTCCTTTAGCAACCATGCAGGAATAACGCCGGGTCCGAACGCTTTGCTAGGATTAATCGACGCTAGTTAAAGGTAAACAGAATGCTCAGTAACGGCAAATGGTTGCGCGGTGGAATAGTCTTGCAGCAGCTGGAAAGTTTCAGCAGATAACGGTGTAAAGTCTTGCATTGTGGAGACAAAAGTATCATTGATCAGATTGGCCAGATCCGAGGCGCTGAGAGACTCCTCACTTATGTGCTGTAATGAACTCATTTGCTCGTCCAAGTCCCTAACGGCTGATGACATGCTGCTCAGCTTCTTCACTTCTTTCCACCAAGCAGACGGTTTGCACTCCTTAAGCTGGCTAACTTTGGAGTCGTAGTACCGCTGCCTGCAGAACTTGCGCTCACGGTTCACTCGGTTCCGCAGGAATCGAAACATTGGCTGATGATTTTCCGCGCGAGCCCTTTGCCGCCGTCTGATTAGGTCTTTCAAGGCTGGATTAACCCAGGGCGGGTCTCTAGAGTGGATCGTTTTAGATCGCAAGGACAGTACACTATCCAGACCATGTTGGATTATTGACTGAAAGGTAGTCACTTTCTCTGCGCAGCCGTGTGCGTTGCCAACGAGGGTGTGCGCGTTATCCTCTTGGAGGTAGGTGTGCATAGCCAAGAGATTGCTGGGTTTCAAGTCCCTTGTTTTGATTGTTAATCGCGAGTCGGGAAGCTGGGATCTATCCTTTGGCTGTACCTCTATGGACATGTGAACTGATAGACCGTGGGGAGGACGTTGGATGGGGTCCTTGTAGTACTCTTTCAGATTCTTTAAAACAAGGTCTAGCGTTCTATCGGCTCGCGTGGGGAAGTTGAAGTTGAAGTTGCTCGTTTTTCTTGCGTGGATTTCTTGTGGGCTGTGTGCTCTGGTGTATGCTGGTATGTTTTTGTGTCTACCTTGAAATAATGTCTTTAAGTTTATAAGTTTTTAAAAGTATTTGGTCAGCCGCTACTGTTTATTAAGATAGTATTAGCAGCTAATCAAGAGGAGGCTAATTGCGGTTTCTAATTTCGGCTAATTAGGTTTCTGCCGATTTCACCAATGTAAGAAGCCTTGCAGTCGCAGCATTTAATCTTGTAATACTGCTCCCTGTCTGTCCTCCGGTTTGTCTTTGTCCTTGTCCTTGTCTTTGTCCGGTTTGTCTTTGTCCTTGACAAAAACGACTATTTACAGAAAACCGACACATACCGACCGATTACTAGACGAGTCTTCGTACAACCCGACCTCTCACAAGGCTATTACTACCCGGACTTTGAGGAGACGAGAGCAACTAATTTGCGAGTCACCTGACAGCCTACAAGACGAGACTGATTATCTTAACAACGTTTTTAGTAAGAAGAATTACAACACGGACTTTGTTAGACGAAACCCTCTTTGTAATTTATTTATTTATTTATTTATTCACTCACAAAACCTTATACAACATGAACAAAAGTTGTTAATTAAATTATAAAATTAATGTGACAAGGAAGCCTAAAGAAGCTTGAAGCTTATATTAATAGGCTTCCTTCAACTAACTAATGAACTAAATTCATGGCTGAGTGCAGAGTGAGCAAGATCAGAAAATTAAGCGACAGATAGGCTATCAGTGAGATAATTCTTTAGTTAAAAAAAAACAACAAAACATTAAACAAATATAGAAGGAGAGCTAATTAGTGAAATAGGCAACGAATTCCTTGGCAAAGGATAATGAATTGCTTTATATTTGTTCTACAAAAATGAGGTCTATACTGAGAGGCTAGTTGGGTTTCGTATTGATGGACTCGATTACTACTTAAGCACAAGTCACGAAAGCTACTAGGCAAAAAATTATGGTGATAAGAATACATAAAAGTAGCGACAGAAAATGAAATAATACTAAATATGTCAAGGACTTTGAGCTGGCTAAATAAAGGGGCAGTATTTGCTAGATAGTGAGCTTTTGTTATGAGCCGCACTAGACGCTTTTGCAAAAGGTAAATACAGTTTAGGTTGAACCAGCAAGTGCAGGGCCAGGCGACATTACAGTATTTAAGAAAGGATATACAAGGGAGTAGTAATACAAGGCCATCAAAGTTTAGGATGATAGGTAAAAGCGGGCTTTCGCAATAATTCCCACACTTTTCGAGATTTTTTTTGAGACGAAATCATTATGTGGTTTCCAAGAGAGATGCTGATCAATGAGAACACCTAAAAATTATTGTCTCCGTGACTTGCTTGAGCCGGTATTTTCCAGAGTAAGAGAGACATTAACATTGACTTTCTTTTGCCTTGAATGAAAAATAATAAAATTTGTTTTCGTCAAATTTAGAGATAAGTTATTCAATTTAAGCCAAATAATTATTTTTGCAAGTTCATTGTTAACAATAGAAACGAGGTGGTTGGCATCTTTATGGGAACAAAAGATACTTGTGTCATCAACAAACAGTAAAGATTGAGTGAGACTAAAGACATTAGAAAGATCATTAATGTGAATAATAAACAAGAGAGGTCCAAGAATTAAGCCTTGCGAGACGCAACATAAAAGTTTCCGCGGATGAGATCGATGGGACCCAAACTGGACTAATTGAGTCCGATCCTCAAGATAGCTTTTGATCCACGCCAAAGCAGTATCCCGAATACCATAGTGTTGCAGTTTTTGACATAATATTTCATAATTAATAGTATCAAACGCCTTAGAAAGATCTAAGAAGATGCCTAAAGTTGTTTCATTTCTGTCGATAGCTGAAGATACGTTGTTGATCGAGTCAATTAAAGCTAATGCAGTCGAATGATTATTACGGAATCCAAATTGTTTCGAGTATAAAATATTAGGCAAATTTAAGAAATTAATCAGTCGGTTGTACATAACTTTTTCAAAGAGTTTAGAAAAGGCTGGAAGAATTGATATTGGCCTGTAGTTACTAAAAAGTGTTGGGTCATCTGCCTTAAAAACTGGAATCACTTTGGCTATTTTGAGAGATTCAGGAAACACACCAGTAGACAACGAAGTGTTTATAATGGTTACAAGAGGCTGCGCATTATTTTAGAAAGACTGATGAATTATCTTCATGGATATATTATCATGTACAGGAGCTTTGTTAGCGTTGAACGATTTGACAATATTGTTTAATTCACCGACCGTTAGTGGTGGCAATGAAATGGATTTAGAACGAGAGCTGCTCAAGAAATCCTTGGGTGATGAATTTGTGGAAGGAATTTTGCTCTCCAAATTTGGCCCTATAATGGTGAAGTAATCACAGAAATTATTGGCAATGTCAGTAGGATTGCTAATTTCCATTCCATTTTTGGTGAAGCTTGCAGGATACGGTGATTTAGCGACACGCCTGTTGATCACTTCATTGAGAATTTTCCATGTTTGTTTTAAGTTAGATCTAGCCTTATCCAATTTGTTGTCATAATAATTTTTCCTGGCGACACGAACAAGACAAGTTAGCTTATTTCTAATTAAATGACTTATAGTTGGATTCACGCTAATGACTTGGTTTCCTTAAGAATAATTTATACAGCCTAGACTTTGTTGTAATTGATTTCAAGATTCTAGTGGTAAGCCTCGGATTATGCAGAGTTTTTAGGTTTTTCGCTTGACAAAACTTTATCGGAAAACTCTTGTTATAAAATTCAGTATATTTTTATAGGAACCCATCGTAAGCGGCGTTAGCATCAGCATAAATTAGAGAATTCCAATCGAATTCACACAAAAGGTTGTTAAATGCATTCATATTCTGACTAGAGAAGTTGTGAATGGTAACTCTTTCCTCAGGCTTAATTTTTGAAGAATGAGCATCGGTGTAACAGAGCGTGAAGATTGGTAAATGGTCGGACAGATCATTAATAATGAGTCCATTGTCACACGAGGCAGAAATATTGTTAGTAAAAATGTTATCAATCAGGTTGGAGCTGTACGAAGTAAGTCGAGTTGGTCTCGAAATTAGAGGGTAAAGAAAATGAGAAAATGACGCATTAATAAGCTCGTTCGTAGCTGAATGCAAATCAGTGTTAAGAAGGTCTAAATTGAAATCACCTATTATGTAACACATTTTATTGTCCCTGGTTACCCGATCAAGCAATTGCTGAAAAGATTCCAGGAATTCATTCAAATTAGCAGAACGAGGACGATTAACTGTACCGATATTAAAGTTTTTTTTCCATGCGGATTTTCGATTTCAACAAAAACAGAGTCAATGCGATGGTATTGGTCGTCTGTCAGTTAAACCGTGATGTTATTGGCTATGAAGACTCGTAATAGTAATCGGTGTGTTTAGATCCGTCTATGGCTAGTTTGTTTATTGGGTTTTTGGTTGAGAAATACGTCACTTGTCAAAGTGGGAAATCCGATTTCGGATGGCATCGTTTTCGTTTTTCACCTTGCTTGATGCGTATATAGAGGAGCGTAGTCGAGCGTAGTTTATGCGGCTATTTAGTTTATGCACGTTTGTAAGATTTGAGAGAATGATCTGACCGAGTATCAGGGTTGATATAAGTTTACAGAACTTTAAAAAATAATATTATTTTGTGCCGGCGGACACCCATACATTTACTCTAATTTAAACCTCTCCACAATGGCCACCTCTCTACAATAACCTGAGATCAGGCTCTTTTTTCCTTTCGCTTTGAAAATAACATTCCGGCGGGCGAGGCGAAACAAAAATAGAGCCTGATACAAACTTCCTACGAAACGTCTTCCGCCCACTTTTTTGATTGATTGACATTTGCCGAATCAGCCAACCAAAACTACTTCCGTTGCTTGTTTTTTTAGTATGCAAATTTTTCATACGTGGGAAAAATGCAGACTCGCTGTCTTGAAAAATAGCTTTATCTTTTAATTTTTTCAACTAAAAATAAAACAGTCAGCACAATGACATTTAAGGAGATCTCGGAGATTATTTCTGTTGGCGTAGAAGGTAAAAAGTTTTCGAAAAGGCCTCGACACGATGTTTTAGTTTGAACATTTTGGCTGGGCGCGCTCGAATTAAAAATACAGAAATATTTATTTGTCTGTTGCCTTTATACATTCCTCGGCAATTTTCCCCTATTTTCAGTACATAAATCTTTAAAAATCTTGGAGAAATATATCGCAAACTTTTTCAAAGGATATATAAATTATCTCAGAACAAACCAAACGAGTTCTCCAGTGCATTTAATCTAGCTGATTTAGTCTCGTGCGTACACTTCCGATTTGCGAATTCACTAGAGAAACAAACGTCTAAAAAAATACATTTTTTTTATAAAACCAGAAAAATATTATCTGCCACTTTGGGAAAACGTACGGACACTTCTAAAACTGCATGCTCAACTGCCCTATAAACAAAGCGAAAAACAAGTACAAACACACTTTGTAGTTCTCCTTAGTTGTGTTGTTGTTTTACTGCAGGTCTAAAAACTTGGCTCGCTAAATTTATTAATCGAAATTAACAAACAGCCAAACAAGCCAGGAAACCAGTTTTCCTGGTTTGTTTTTTACAAAAAAGGAAGGCAAACAACAAGCCTGTTACCTT